GCAGTACTGTATGTGCAAAAGGGTTCATGTTTGTTGTCTGTACCTCCCATGTACCTTTCTATGTCTTTTTCATCCTTAGTGGTGCCATATAGGTCACTCACATTGGGTACATTTCCCTTCTCTTCACCCAAGTCAATACTTATCTCTGTCTATCTAACAGCGTTCCCTCCCCTCCCCTCCCACCCCTGGTAACCAAAAAAAAAATTTCCTTTTATAGATAAACCTTTCCTTAACTTGTACAATAACGGAGTAATACAATATTTTATCCTTCTGTGATTGACTTACTTCACTCAGCATAATGTCCTCCAAGTTCATCCACGTTATGCAGTGTTTTGCAGATTCTACATTATTCTTCAGCTTTTCATAGTATTCCATTGTGTGTATGTATCATTGTTTGGTTATCCATACCTCAGTTGATGGACACCTAGGTTGTTCCATCTTTTGGCTATTGTAAATAGTGCTGCAATGAACATGGGTGTGCATATATCTGTTCTTGTCATGGCTCTCACTTCTTTAGGGTATATACCTAGTAACCGAATGGCTGGGTCAAATGGTATTTCTAATTCCAACTTTTGAAGGAATCTCCATACCACTTTCCACAGTGGTTGTACCATTTTACAGGCCCCCCCACCGGTGTATGAGAGTCCCAGTCTCTCCACAGCCTTGCCACCATTTGTTATTTTCCGTCTTGGTGAACTTTGCTACTACTGCTGGATCTGTTTGGCTTTTCAACTCTTTTAAAGTCTGATTCATGTATTTTGGGACTCTTTCATTGGGTCTATAGATACTTATTATTGTTATATCTTCAGGTTCAATTGATCCTTTAATCATTATATAATGTCCTTCTTTGTCTCGTATGGTGGTTTTTGTCCTACAGTCAATTTGATCAGAAATTAATATTGCCACTCCTACTCTCTTACATTTGCATTTGCTTGATATATCTTTTCCAACCTTTGATTTTTAGTTTATTTTTGTCTTTATCTCTAAGGTGTGTCTCTTGTAGGCAGTATATTGATGGGTTTTGTTTTCTTATCCAGTCTGCAACTGTCCGTCTCTTGAGTGGTGCATTTAATCCATTACCATTTAGGGTAATTATTGATAAGTTTGAATTTGTTGCTGTCATTTTGTTACATGTTTTTTCATGGTGTCCATGGTTTCTTTGTTCTGTATTACTCTCTGTGCTGAGCTCATTATGTTTATGAATCCTGTTATCATTTCCTTTGTTGCTGTTGTTTTAGTATATGCTGAATATTTGTGCTTGTCCTCTTTTTTATTGTG